AATACTATGTGACCTGATTTCATCATGTCACCCTTAAACCATACCATGTGACCTGATTTACCATGTCACCCCTAAACTATACCATGTGACCTGTTTTTACCATGTCACCCCTAAACCATACCATGTGACCTGTTTTTACCATGTCATCTCTAAAGTATACCATGTGACCTGATTTACCATGTCACCCCTAAACTATACCATGTGACCTGTTTTCACCATGTCACCTCTATAGTATACTATGTGATCTGATTTTATCGTGTCACAACTTAACCTTACCATGTGACCTGATTTTACTGTGACACCTCTAAACCATACATTGTGACCTGATTTTACCATGTCACCTCTAAACCATACTATGTGACCTGATTTCATCATGTCACCCTTAAACCATACCATGTGACCTGATTTACCATGTCACCCCTAAACTATACCATGTGACCTGATTTCACCATGTCACCCCTAAACCATACCATGTGACCTGATTTCACCATGTCACCTCTAAACTATACCATGTGACCTGATTTTACCATGTCACCCCCTAAACCATACCATGTGACCTGATTTTACCATTTCACCTCTAAAGTATACCATGTGACCTGATTTAACCATGTCACCCCTAAACCATACAATGTGACCTGATTTTACCATGTCACCCCCTAAACTATACCATGTGACCTGATTTTACCATGTCACCCCTAAACCATACCATGTGACCTGATTTTACCATGTCACCTCTAAACTATACCATGTGACCAGATTTTACAATGTCACCTTTAAAGCATACCATGTAACCTGATTTAACCATGTCATCCCTAAACCATACCATGTGACCTGATTTTACCATGTGACCTTTAAAGTATACCATGTGACCTGATTTCACCATGTCACCCCTTAACCATACCATGTGACCTGATTTTACCATGTGACCTTTAAAGTATACCATGTGACCTGATTTTACCATGTCACCCATAAACCATACCATGTGACCTGATTTTACCATGTCACCTCTAAAGTATACTTTTTTGACCTGATTTTACCATGTCACCTCTAAACCATACCATGTGACCTGATTTTACCATGTGACCTCTAAAGTATACCATGTGACCTGATTTTACTATGTCACCTCTTAACCATACCATGTGACCTGATTTTACCATGTCACCTCTTAACCATACCATGTGACCTGATTATAACCTGTCACCTCTAAACTATACCATGTGACCTGATTTTACCATGTCACCTCTAAACTATACCATGTGACCTTTATTATCGGTAAGAATTTGTTTGAAAACAATATCAGATTAAGTGGCTGGAGCATTCAGAACTTTAAGTACAAAGTCAAAGTCTCTACTACAGGTGAAAATGTCATGGAATTATACTACAACATCATGCATTACAAATTTCTGTAAATATTCAAATATAGCAGTTGTTAGGCACTGTACTTATAGAAACATACTTATTTACTTGTATTTATTGATACTGAACTCGCTTTGAATTGTACACAATCTCGCTGCAAGTGGCAAAAATTCATAACTTCACGTTTTAACTTCACAAAAACAACAGTGTCCTTTTGCTCTCCAGAAGATCAACATGCAGTAAGAAGTTTGTCACAGGTAACGTGTCACACCTGCCCAGGTGAAAACAACTTCGCTGTGCTAATAAGTACTTAGCACTATTGCACCAAAATAAACATAATTCCCCCCCCCCCCCCCCTGGTAACTGAATATTCTCCATCTATCTAACAGTAGTTGGCACGACCACCAACCATTCCCTTGGTTTAAGGATAAGCTTCCTGTGTTTGTCTAATTGAAGACAATATAAGTATAGCAGGAAACCGATCTTATTGCAATATGTACATATCATGTGCATCTGAAGTAGCCCTAACCCCAAACCAACACAACCCTACAAGGCTAAAGCGTCCAGGGCGCTTATTTTGACAAATACGATAGGTATATTGTAAAAGTACATACAGCACTACCAAGTGATCTAGCCACCCCGACGCGCCTGGAAACACCTGAAAAGGTAAACAGGTGTATCTCTCATCTCCTAACACTGTACGATCATTATCATGTCTGGTTGTGACCAAATATTTTATTAAAAAATCTGAAGAAAATAAAAGGAAAAAAATGTTGAACCTCATTCTCTTTCACACACAAAATATGAATGCAAATTGAAAACCTGAAATTGTTATTCATCTTCAAAATTTTTATTACGAAAGAAATACACATATTCACATAAAGTTGGCAGTTACATATACAAGTTAATACTCTGAAGTGTGTACAGTATACCAGGTACCTACTTCTACAAGGCTAGACAACACAGCCACATGGCACATCATTATTCATATAGTTTTGCAGTCTGAACACATTCTACAAATATAAACCCTGGCAAAGTGCTTGCCAGTTTAAAACAATGAAAGGTAGTTAGCTGTGTAACCGTGAAACACCACCCCCAACTCCATAACAGTACTGTACAGACAGGTCTACATTAGATTATCTGGTGGATTCCCAGTACTGTACAGACAGGTCTACATTAGATTATCTGGTGGATTCCCAGTACTGTACAGACAGGTCTACATTAGATTATCTGGTGGATTCCCAGTACTGTACAGACAGGTCTACATTAGATTATCTGGTGGATTCCCAGTACTGTACAGACAGGTCTACATTAGATTATCTGGTGGATTCCCAGTACTGTACAGACAGGTCTACATTAGATTATCTGGTGGATTCCCAGTACTGTACAGACAGGTCTACATTAGATTATCTGGTGGATTCCCAGTACTGTACAGACAGGTCTACATTAGATTATCTGGTGGATTCCCAGTACTGTACAGACAGGTCTACATTAGATTATCTGGTGGATTCCCAGTACTGTACAGACAGGTCTACATTAGATTATCTGGTGGATTCCCAGTACTGTACAGACAGGTCTACATTAGATTATCTGGTGGATTCCCAGTACTGTACAGACAGGTCTACATTAGATTATCTGGTGGATTCCCAGTACTGTACAGACAGGTCTACATTAGATTATCTGGTGGATTCCCAGTACTGTACAGACAGGTCTACATTAGATTATCTGGTGGATTCCCAGTACTGTACAGACAGGTCTACATTAGATTATCTGGTGGATTCCCAGTACTGTACAGACAGGTCTACATTAGATTATCTGGTGGATTCCCAGTACTGTACAGACAGGTCTACATTAGATTATCTGGTGGATTCCCAGTACTGTACAGACAGGTCTACATTAGATTATCTGGTGGATTCCCAGTACTGTACAGACAGGTCTACATTAGATTATCTGGTGGATTCCCAGTACTGTACAGACAGGTCTACATTAGATTATCTGGTGGATTCCCAGTACTGTACAGACAGGTCTACATTAGATTATCTGGTGGATTCCCAGTACTGTACAGACAGGTCTACATTAGATTATCTGGTGGATTCCCAGTACTGTACAGACAGGTCTACATTAGATTATCTGGTGGATTCCCAGTACTGTACAGACAGGTCTACATTAGATTATCTGGTGGATTCCCAGTACTGTACAGACAGGTCTACATTAGATTATCTGGTGGATTCCCAGTACTGTACAGACAGGTCTACATTAGATTATCTGGTGGATTCCCAGTACTGTACAGACAGGTCTACATTAGATTATCTGGTGGATTCCCAGTACTGTACAGACAGGTCTACATTAGATTATCTGGTGGATTCCCAGTACTGTACAGACAGGTCTACATTAGATTATCTGGTGGATTCCCAGTACTGTACAGACAGGTCTACATTAGATTATCTGGTGGATTCCCAGTACTGTACAGACAGGTCTACATTAGATTATCTGGTGGATTCCCAGTACTGTACAGACAGGTCTACATTAGATTATCTGGTGGATTCCCAGTACTGTACAGACAGGTCTACATTAGATTATCTGGTGGATTCCCAGTACTGTACAGACAGGTCTACATTAGATTATCTGGTGGATTCCCAGTACTGTACAGACAGGTCTACATTAGATTATCTGGTGGATTCCCAGTACTGTACAGACAGGTCTACATTAGATTATCTGGTGGATTCCCAGTACTGTACAGACAGGTCTACATTAGATTATCTGGTGGATTCCCAGTACTGTACAGACAGGTCTACATTAGATTATCTGGTGGATTCCCAGTACTGTACAGACAGGTCTACATTAGATTATCTGGTGGATTCCCAGTACTGTACAGACAGGTCTACATTAGATTATCTGGTGGATTCCCAGTACTGTACAGACAGGTCTACATTAGATTATCTGGTGGATTCCCAGTACTGTACAGACAGGTCTACATTAGATTATCTGGTGGATTCCCAGTACTGTACAGACAGGTCTACATTAGATTATCTGGTGGATTCCCAGTACTGTACAGACAGGTCTACATTAGATTATCTGGTGGATTCCCAGTACTGTACAGACAGGTCTACATTAGATTATCTGGTGGATTCCCAGTACTGTACAGACAGGTCTACATTAGATTATCTGGTGGATTCCCAGTACTGTACAGACAGGTCTACATTAGATTATCTGGTGGATTCCCAGTACTGTACAGACAGGTCTACATTAGATTATCTGGTGGATTCCCAGTACTGTACAGACAGGTCTACATTAGATTATCTGGTGGATTCCCAGTACTGTACAGACAGGTCTACATTAGATTATCTGGTGGATTCCCAGTACTGTACAGACAGGTCTACATTAGATTATCTGGTGGATTCCCAGTACTGTACAGACAGGTCTACATTAGATTATCTGGTGGATTCCCAGTACTGTACAGACAGGTCTACATTAGATTATCTGGTGGATTACCAATTAATGGAGTCTCTGTTTTTAGGAGAAAAACAATTTACCAAGTGTAAATTACTTAAGTATAACAACCATCACAAACTGAAGAACATTTCATGCCATTTATGTTATGTCAAAAACGTACTATTTTACAAATAAAAATAAACAGGGAAAACACCACATATATAGGTATGAAATTCCAATAAAAATAGACATTTATTACATGGATCCCTACAGCTGTATTTATTACATGGATCCCCACAGCTGTATTTACTACATGGATCCTACAGCTGTATTTATTACATGGATCCCTACAGTTGTATTTACTACATTGATCCCTACAGCTGTATTTACTACATGGACCCCGACAGCTGTATTTATTACATGGACCCTTACAGCTGTATTTATTACATGGATCGCTACAGCTGTATTTACTTCATGGATCCCTACAGCTGTATTTACTTCATGGACCTTTACAGTTGTATTTACTACATGGATCCCTACAGCTGTATTTACTACATGGACCCCGACAGCTGTATTTATTACATGGACCCTTACAGCTGTATTTATTACATGGATCCCCACAGCTGTATTTACTACATGGATCCCTACAGCTGTATTTACTTCATGGACCTTTACAGTTGTATTTACTACATTGATCCCTACAGCTGTATTTACTACATGGATCCCTACAGCTGTATTTATTACGTGGATCCCTACAGCTGTATTTACTACATGGATCCCGACAGCTGTATTTATTACGTGGATCCCTACAGCTGTATTTATTACATGGATCCCTACAGCTGTGTTTATTACATGGATCCCTACAGCTGTATTTACTACATGGATCCCTACAGCTGTATTTATTACGTGGATCCCTACAGCTGTATTTATTACATGGATCCCTACAGCAGTATGCACTACATCGATCTCTACAGCAGTATGCACTACATTGATCTCTACAGCAGTATGCACTACATGGATCCCTGCAGCTGTAATTTTATTAAATGCCAGGTTTCATACATAGTGCCTCTGGAGGATAAATGACTGTATACAAGTCTTTAGAGAGGCAATTCATAGGAGGGGAGGGGAGGGGAGGGGAGGGGAGGGGAGTGGTTCTGTTTGAAAAGGTGGGGGATCCAGTTGTAAGGGTTTGAAATTTAATGGGAAATGGGTGAAACATTTATTGGGATGAGGTTGAGGTTTTATATCTAATAAGCTCAGCGCCTTTCTTCAGTGATAAGTTGTGTAATATCAAGGTAGATTTGTCAGTGACAATTTAAGGCCGGTGTCATGTTGTGTATATCATTAGGAACATGTTAAGCTATTGGTAGTGTACAGGGCTGAAGGTTGGTATCACTGAAATGTAATCATGATAGCAATACATAGATACACCTTAAACTCAAGCGACAGATTTAATATACATCTACAGCACCAGAGAAAATATTGACAATCTGGGCAACAACAGCTGAAGCTGAAAATTACCTTCAGTGAACATTAACCTATAGCATAAGTGGAAAATTAGCTTTCGACAAAATATCTACAAAAGACCATGACAATTCAGCTGAAAACTCCAGTGATCAAATCTATAGAACCTCTATGTTAACTCTTCACCCCTGAAGACACATTTGAACTCTTCCAATTCAAAAGATGGAATAGTTCATTATGAAATTTCAGGGGCGATAAGTTACGCTGTGAAAGCTTTATTCTTATTAGTGACAAGGTGTGTTCACTGAATTTCTGGAAAAGGCATCCTTGATGAGGATAGACTGCCAAAGATTTGAATTGTAAAACAAATCCATGCCATTCGATAGCAGTCATACAGGAGATGGATAATTTCTCAACAGACCTAAGTAATATGTTTAAGTTGTGAATGGAGATGAAGAGGAACTAGCTTAATTTCAGGGCATGGTGGCGTTGATGCTGATAAGACAAAGAATGGTTACACTGGACACCGGAGATGTATCGACTTGATGACATTTTTGCGGCACAAGCATTTCGTATGTTCTATACTCTGGTGGTAAAATCTTCTAATTAACACAACACTATTTATACAGTACTACATTGCATTACCTTGGCCTAGTGCTGAATTAGGTCAAAATCCCTGCAGTTGCACCAAAAGAATAGTAATTAAAGACATATCCTTATTTCCCCTGTTGAGTCATAGAAGATGGGTGGGGAAGGGACATATTCTTATTCTTACAACAGTGAATTCCCTTGGCAAAGAGATGCTCCATGTAAATCCAAGTCAAAAGGATTAAAATCTCTTCAGTCATACTTTAAAAGATTCCCAACATAAAACTACATTGTATTCAAGAACATCTAGAACATCAACATCTTTGAATATGCAAAATAGATTCTTTGGTATTGGTAGCTAGTAACAAAACAACAAACAATATGTCTACAATAATGTACAGCAGATACAGGCTAAAAGCTGGACAGTATACACAGGCTAAAAACTGGACAGTACATAAAGGCTAAAAGCTTGACAGTATACACAGGCTAAAAGCTGGACAGTTCACACAGGCTAAAAGCTGGACAGTATACACAGGCTAAAAGCTGGTACATAGAGGTAGGGGATTCAGTAAAAAAATGGTCTTTCTCTGATCTCTATTAGTGTAACCTCACAAATTTTGTATAATTATGTCACAGTTTCAACAAAACTGTAAAATTATCTCACCAGAAGTGTACCTGTAGTTTATATAATGTTTGTAGGTGTGTATCTGATTTTCCGTGGCCTAATTCTATAAATGTTTGGGATCGTATAAGGGAAACATCAGGATTTTCAGCAGATACATAGTTTACGATTATTTAACTTGACTAGAAATAATAGGCAATACCCTGAACACAGACTGGACAGGAAGCAATATACAACCAAATAGCGATATAATCTTTATATTATTGTGAAACCTGTTTAAACCAGACACCACAGGAACTAAACTTTTCAACTGAAAAACTGATTTTCACATTACAGATTAACGGTTAAATATACTCAGTACTGTACACAGTGTAATACAATTAAAATGCTCATTTTATACAAATGTACAAGAGTGCAAAGGTCAAATAAACATGGAATTGTTTCTAATAAGGTGGTTAACTTCTCACCCGTCAGGTTAAAAATGTCACTGAGTTTTCCCCATGCAAGAGGTGAAAGGTCATCGACCTCAGTCTGTATCGCAATGGTACATGATCTTGTGTATGAGAGCAGAGTTAGCGTGGAGGTCATCAGCCTTGACATTGGAGAACGTAGGTAGTGACTTGGTGGATTTATTGCGAGGGTCCATACCCATGGTGGTCTCCACACTGTATCCCTTCCTCTCCAGTAGGTCGGCGATGGTCACACGAATACTGCTGTTGGTGTAAGTCCGGCTCAGACATGCATCCTCTGCCATTTTGGACATGAGACAGGCAAGGACTCCATGCCCAACTGGAGACTCGTACCAAACCATGTCCGTCGGATGCACATGCCCTTTGGGTCGCTGGAAAAACGCGTCTTTGTTTGGGTTACGCTTGGACAAATATTTGTCCATGCTTTTAACAGGACACATTGGGTTACCGACTATTTCATACATGCGACCATCCCAATTCCAGTACTGCATTTCCATACATGACCTTGCCCTTTGGATTTTAATACTGTGATTGAGCCGATAAAATTTCCTCCCTTTTTCGTCAGTCTCCAAGACGAAGGAATCCTGTGTGAGTCCTCTGAGAGCAGATTGTCCCCCACACCCCAGATGTAGGGTGAGATCATACCAAACCTTCCTAAACAGACCCAGGGGGGTTTCAAGGTTTAGACACCCAGAAGATATCAGCAGTCCGACATCCGATGATGTCATTGGGATCTTCATGGGTGCCTTGGGTTTCATTGGGGTCTCTGTCAAACTCTCTCGCAGGTTGTCGAGGAGGTTGTTGGAAGGTTGGAACACATCGGAATGTTTGATATGCGACTTCCATTCCGGAGTGAGGTTGGAAAGGTAACGCATGATGCTGTTTCGGACGTCCGTCAGGGTGCTCACATGGTACATTTCCCCGCGTTTGGACTTGGCCTCGAGATAAAACTTGGACAGACAGTCATTGAGCTGTGACGGAGGAAATGCCTCAAAGTCTACAGATAGGTTCAGACTTACCAGGAATCCTACAACAGAGCAAACTATCAGTTCAATGTTAACACTATTATTTTTTATTTCTAATAAAAAATCTTCTGTTTTCATTTCAAATTGGTTGAATTATACTAATTATATATATCTAAGCTGATCAAAGTTAAAACCCTTTAATTTGTGGATTTTTTTTATTTAAAAAAAAAAAAAAGAATCAATCATTTTCATTTTTTTTACATGACATGATACAACACATATGGTACATGGTTGCTGTTAATTTGTGGAACTTAATACATTGTTCAAGATACACATGAATATGTTAAATCTGTAAATCTGTTTCAGTGTTGAAAATATTTAGTCTACGGAGCAAAGAATACGTTACCAATAACTGAGCAATAAACTAAAATAAAACACCTTCAGTAGTACTGGACACTTACAGTAACTGGCCAAACAATATTTTATACAATATTTCCATCAAAAGAGTTGTTTTGGTTTGATTCAAAGAAACGATCATTCACCACATAGAATGGTGATTTTTTCTTCCTTACCATTCCAGCAACCTCGATATGTTAATCTCAGTTTCGATTACTGCAAGCTTTCATATAAGTTGATAAATCTTTTCTGATTTATACATATTTTACTTGTTTTTTTCTGTTAAATAGTTTTAAAGGGGAAATCAGAAGTAAATTAGATAGATTAAAGCTTATACGAATAAGAAATGTAAACAAATAAGGATTTCAAAATGGAATAACTGATACTCTTTTTAACTTATTCACCCCTGAAGACACATTTGAACCCTTCCAATTCAAAGGTTGGTCTAGTTCATTATGAAACTTCAGGGGTGAATGAGTTAAACCTTAAAAATAAAGAATTAAGAATTCATATTGATCAAAGTATTTTGTATTCAATCCTGAAATAGTGCATTGCTATCAGCTATATTATAAATAAAAAAGTCCAAGGCTGTTTATTTAATTATTTTTTGTTTAACAATTGTAAGGGTAGAATTTTTATACAATTTTACACAAAACATTTCCCCACTTCTCATGAGTGTTCCTAAGTTAAGATTTCCCCTTAATTGAAGTAATTCCTTTTGGGAAACTTAAAGTTTAGGCAGAGTTGTTCAAATTATATCCATTTTTTTTAAAGATATATTAAATTGCAGTGTAACGATTCTCAGCAGGTTACCTGCAGTAAATGCACCAATGGCTTATTTCCGGAGTCCGCAAAATAAGGAGAGACCATGTGACATGCATTTTACCCACCTCTAAAGAGTTTAAGCGCCCACTGCACCGTCTGCATGTCGCCCGTGTCCAGGAACACATAGTTAGGGGCTGCGTCTTCTCCTGGGGAGTAACTTTGGTCCTCGGAACAGCTTGCTGTGCCTGTCAATGGCGACGACTAAAGGTGAATGACTGCGTCACTATAGCGACCAACTATACAATGGCTAAATCTACTGTATATATATCATGCACATGGAGGTTCATACAACTGTCCATTTCCTGTGTAAGCCACTACCACAAAAGGCCAAGTTCTGTATTGTTTAGCCGTTAGAAAGAAGGGAAGAAACGAGAAACAGAATCTATCATTCTTGTCGTCATAACCAGCTATACAGCCCTCCTTCATTTACCATTACTGTAATTGCTTTCATGAAAATGAATGAAATGAAGAAAAAATAGGAACAGGAATGCTATCCTTAAGATTGATTAAATCACTGTCACTGTATCTTGAGTTTTGCAGTGGTACGTACATCATGATGATATTTTTGCAAATGATGTTTTATAGACAACACAGGGTTGAGCCAGTTATGGATATTTGTAACAGTGTAACCACAATAGAGTGACAATAGATATTAACACTACCAAAAGAAACAATGAACATTTTTCAGAAACCTTGCATGGTCACCCCGATCTGTGGATTGGTAATGATTGCAACTGTCAAAGCAAGGTGGAATTACAATGACCTTTCAGTGCGGCACGGAAGTGAACAATGGCATTTCGGCATCACACCATTGATCCTGACATCTATTATCAATTATCATTACTGTATATTGTGGTCATGCAGTTGCAATATTTTAAAATTTTGTTTCTCTGCTAAACTTTATTTTTGGTTCTTTGCTGGTACAATTAAATCCTCCTTTTAGAAAACACTAGGTGTACGTGCGCACAAAGACACTGAAACATCGTTTTGCTACTATTGAAACACTTAACAGCAACAGACAGTCACCAAACACAAGTACATCAAGTATATTTTTCTAATTGTTTTTTTTATTAATGATATGACTCAATCTGTAAAAATTAAGCTGCCCTGTTTTTTCTGTGAGTTTCTGTATTTTAGACTTTAAAAGGTTAAAAGATATTGGACTAGAAACAAACTGACTGATGAAAAAAATGAATTCTGGAGATACTTAAAAATTTACCATTTAAATATAACTAAAAGCAATTCCTACAAAACTTGAGTGCTACAAAGCTCCAGTGAGAAAGTTTCATAGACATTTTGTTGACTTATTAGTGCCCCTTTATGGAGCCCCTGTCAGTTGGTAACTATATGCCAGGTGACCTTTTGACCTTGTACAAGGTACAGCTGGTCATGAGATCCAGCTTTGTCTGCCTACAGCTAGCTACACTGCAGATACAGCTATGCCAGCTACAACCTGTATAGACCAGTGAGGGGCTGCCCTACCACCACCCCACCACCACCGCTGTGTGTGTGTACACACAGTTGTCAGCCAGAAGACACCATGCCCTACTTAGTAGGCAGACGCACAGCTACTTCACAACACTAGATAATACTGATAACACAGGCAACAGAGTGATAGATAATAGGTGGCACAGGAATGGCGGGATCTCTGTACACAGACAGTATTACACTTGTATTACATAATCTGTCCTCAAGTACTAATCTGGTTCATCAATGTTAGGATTATTATGACACTATGTATATTTACATATGTAGTAGTTGTCTACTGTAGATTACCACGGTAACTAGTGAATGGGTACACTGTTAGTAACATCGCAGTACCTGTTTAATATCAGTATATTTGTAACTGTTTACGTTTACGATCAAGAAAAAAGAAAAGAAAAAATAGAACACAGACGCAATCATTTCTACACAGGTAACATGTAAATTTTCAAACCCAGGAAAAAATGTCCGATGTTTAAAATTCATCATTCATGAATATGCAATTGCACAACATCTATATATAAAAAAAAAGTGACGCTCATTTTTAATTAATTGAAAGCTCTGCTCTCACAAAGCAGGGACCTCTCTGTACTGGTTTTGTTATTAAAACTGCTGTTCATTACATTTCCGATGCATGAAACTGTATTTCCATACGAAGAATCTTGAATGAAAGCCTTATAAATGAATGTTAATATTGATTTGCCGATAGTGTATAAAGTGAGTGATGATATCCAGAGGTATGCTGTATAGATGATGTAATACCTCGCTGGTGATCACCATATAGCTCTAGATAACTGTGTACTGGATACTAACATCCACAAAATCCATTACTGTTAACCTAATGTCGGTCTACAACAAACAAGTGTGCAGAGCCTATTGTGGCAATTATCAGCTTGGTGCACAAGGTCAACCCTTATACACACTTGAGAGAAAGCATTGGTTACGGGATCTCCCTGCTCTCCCTGTGTGGGAACCCTGCAGGCCCCATATAACCAAACACACCACAAATGTCATCAAGTCTTTATATTCCAACATGGCTGCCAGATATATACTGTTATGGCAACTGCACCCATCAGACAGCAGATACTTCAGATAAAAGTCAGAAATTCCCTTGGCAAACATAGATGTTTTGAGAAGCTACTTATTGATGAATAATATAATAACATATATAGGTTTACTTTAAGTTCTTGTGTTTGTGGGTTCTTGGCTAAGATCCTTATTTCAATCAATGGATTCAATATGGCTCCTCACATTTTCCATGCAATAACCTGAGGTTTACATCTATACCATGCTCAATGTACTTACTTTTACTTTAAATTATCAAAATTTTTACTTGATTTAATTTTATTGCTGACTCTGTTCCTTTCACATGTTTTAATAATTTACTTTCTCTCAATAACTTCAAATAAAAACTTATTTCCCCCCTTGGTTGCCCCTCAGGTACCCCTGGGTGACCCCCCTCCCCTCCCCCCAGTCATGTGAGCCTGACAGCTCTGACCTCAGATATCTGGTTTCCATGGTAACCCTGGGATTTGCTGAACTCTGCCAGCCTTACAGATGGATCATTGATTTTGTGCCTGGCAGAAGATCTGAGCTTTACAGTGAGCTGCAGAGAGTGTGTGAGCCGGTGTGTACACATACAGGCTGTAGACACAACCAGGCCATACACAGGGCACTGGGTCGGCTCACTACAGGGCCTGGGCACACTGCCAGCCAGGCTCTGGTAACAATGGCCGACATACCATACATGTCCAATAACAGTAAAATAAACCCCAATACAATTTAAGCCAGTTGGGACGAAAAGGGAGTGCCACCATGAACTATAAGAATACACTGTAACTGAAAGAAAAGGCCATATATGTGTATCTTAATTATTTGATAGTGATAGAGAGATATTCCTGTTAATGTTTCACAATTTTTATGGATTGAGATATTATAAAGATGAGTTGAAAAAGCACAATATCCATGAACCCATTCAAATTATAATGCAAATAGTTTCTTTGAATTGACTTTTCAGTATAAGTTGAACTCACGATGAGAAATTTCCTATACTATGAACACAGTCTCATAACATGCTATATATCTAAACATATAAGCATTACTCTGTTGAAGCAGCTGCATAATGTATACGGTTGGGTGTATACACACACTGTGGTTTGTATAGCATACCACATACAAACACCTAGGTCAGATCTAATATATGTAATGGATGTAATGTCGAAATACACCATGAAGTTTATCAGATGTAGACATGATATGCATATTGCGACACAGATAAAGCTTCACATCAATAATCATTTCTATGGTGGCCAAGAGGGCTGAGTGCTGGCACAACCTTATATTGCTGTTGTTTTATTTCACCTTGTATTACAAAAAAAAAAAAAAAGACTATGAAAATAATCATATATACAGGATTCTGTCCAAATTCTTTATAATGGGTAAAACAAATAAATGTCCATATCAACTATAATCATATATCCAATTAAAATAAGCCTACTGGCAAAGTTACTGAATAGGGGTTGAGATCTCCTCAAACATCAAGTACTGGGACTTCCGAGATTGTATAGTAACATGGAAACTTTAGGATGTATTTTACTTTACTGTGATGTAGAGATTAAACAATGTATTTTACCATACTATGATATGAAGCCTTAAGGAAGCAAGTTACTTTGCTGTGATACAAGATTTAAGGGTGTATATTACCTTACTCACAAGGTGACTTTTAGAAACTTAAGGGTGTATGTCACCTTTCTGCCCCAGAGACTTAAGGGTGTATGTTACCTTAGTGCCACTAGAGACTTAAGGATGTATGCTACCTTACTGCGACACAGTGACTCAATGATATATGCTACCATACTGTGACATTAAACTTAAGAGTGAATGTTACCTTACTGCCACCAGAGACTTAAGGATATATGCTACCTTACTGCGACATTAAACTTAAGAGTGTATGTTACCTTACTGCCACCAAGACACCAGAGACTTAAGGATGTATGCTACCTTACTGCCACCAGAGACTTAAGGATGTATGCTACCTTACTGTAACATGTAGACTTAAGGATATATGCTACCATACTGTGACATTAAACTTAAGAGTGTATGTTACCTTACTGCCATCAGAGACTTAAGGATGTATGCTACCTTACTTCCACCAGAGACTTAAGGATGTATGCTACCGTACTATGACATTAAACTTAAGAGTGTATGTTACCTTACTGCCACCAGAGACTTAAGGATGTATGCTACCTTACTGCCACCAGAGACTTAAGGATGTATGCTACCTTACTGTGACATGTAGACTTAAGGATATATGCTACCATAATGTGACATTAAACTTAAGAGTGTATGTTACCTTACTGCCATCAGAGACTTAAGGATGTATGCTACCTTACTTCCACCAGAGACTTAAGGATGTATGCTACCTTACTTCCACCAGAGACTTAAGGATGTATGCTACCTTACTTTCACCAGAGACTTAAGGATGTATGCTACCTTACTTCCACCAGAGACTTAAGGATGTATGCTACCTTACTTCCACCAGAGACTTAAGGATGTATGCTACCTTACTTCCACCAGAGACTTAAGGATGTATGCTACCTTACTTCCACCAGAGACTTAAGGATGTATGCTACCTTACTTCCACCAGAGACTTAAGGATGTATGCTACCTTACTTCCACCAGAGACTTAAGGATGTATGCTACC